TAATTATAACTAGTTATGATTAATTATTCATATTTCCCCATGAGCTGATTCGCTACAATTTACAGATACTAGTCCATATTGCGACTCTATTTAAGTGTACTTACCTACTTTTGATTAATTCATCCAAACTTTGACAAATTCCGTGACATTCCGCGTCATACAGTAAATTCCATTTATATGACTGGATTCCGCGATTCCGTCCACATTTTCTGCATCGCGGAAATCATAGATAATATTGAGGTGTTTTGCAACTTCAGTGTAACGTTAGTGGATTGTAATTTATTGCAACTTAAGCAATGTCTGCTGCTGCCTTACCTTTGAGAGACAACTGACGTGTGATCACTGAAGCAGCTCCAGTTAGCAAGCGCTTTCGGAGTGAGAGTGAATTCCGCATTGATTGGTCGGACTCGTGACTCCCAACAAATCAGATGGGCAGTGGGCAGAGATTGCTTTAGGCCACAGAGTGGTGAGTTCTGACAGGCTGCATCAGAGCCAAATAGCACGTTTCAAAATTAAGTTATTTTATCGGCGAATCGGTTTTGAAACTGACCGATACCGATAATCACAAAAATGCTTAATATCAGCGCCGATAATCGGTCGACCCCTAGCTCAGTCAGAGTGTTCTAGTGTGTATGCATCATAAAGCTGACATATGACCAGAGGCACAACTGCACATTTGCTGAGGAGTATGCAAGATCAGTGTTGGCGCCCCCCTGTATTCTAGCCCCTAACACGAACTCCCACAAGGGGCGGAGTGTTTTAGGCACTAAAACAGTCCAGTACTTTATAGTCAAACACATTTTTATATTAAAATAATGTAGATTTCTGTGCCACCCCAGACTGGTTGCTGGCCCCTCCCTGGCCACCCCTAAAAAAACATCCTGGCTCCGCCACTGACTCCCACAGAAAACTTTCTGTAAGTTAATGACTGAAAGCCCATTAACTAGCTTGGACATGGAAGGATACAAACTCATCAATGGTGAAACAAGTGACAAAGATATGAACGCCTTCCCCCCATTTTACCATAGAAGAAAAGGTGAAAAGTGAAAAGAAAAAAGAAAAGTGTGTTGTATAACATCCCCTTTAACTCCTGAGAATAGAATGGTTCCATAAGAATGGTTCTGTGTCTGGCCTGTTTGACTGCCTGTGTGACATAAAATGTTGGATGGACATGAACTTATTACAGCTAAACAACGACAAAACCGAAATTGTTATCTTTGCCCCACCAGATTTGACCTCTGACATAGTTAATCAGCTTGGATCTCTATCTTCAAATGTTCATGACTGTGTCAAAAATCTTGGTGTCATTTTTGATTCCAATCTGAGTTTCGATAAGCAGATTAGTGCTATTGTTAAAAGCAGTTTCTTTCAACTAAGATCTATTGCCAAAATTAAGATTATGCTTTCTAAGAAAGACCTTGAAACTGTTATGCATGCATTTATCACCTCAAAGTTGGATTATTGTAACTCTTTATACCTGGGTTTGCCTAATTCACCTGTAAATCGTTTGCATATGGTTCAAAACGCAGCAGCCAGGCTATTGACTGGCACTAAAAAGTGTCAGCACATTACTCCTGTGCTTGTCTCTCTCCCCTGGTTACGTTAAGTCCCGGATTGATTTAAAAATTGTCTTTTTGTTTATAAAGCTTTGCATGGACTTGCCCCTCAGTATATCAGTGATCTTCTTGTCCCGTACAGTGCCTCAAGATCCTTATGTTCTTCCAATCATTTAACGCTTTTTTTTTTTTTTTAAAGTAGGCCTATATTTCTTCAAACACATTAAATATTGAACGCTTTTTAGTTAGGTAATTTCATCTGCATCTATACTTATACTTAATTTTTACTTATATATAATTCATGGAAAATTTGCTATGCTTAAGTAGAAGATTTCTGCCACCTGGTAGAAATACAAATACTATTGAAATGAATTTCATGATATTCCCACTATAACCACTAGATTGCAGCAGAGGATAATTCATTGTCTCATTTACCATTTCCACTCCGTAATATAGCTCTTTTCACATGCTTTGATTTTGGATTTATATTTAGATATTATAAAATCACTATTATAATATTTAAAAATCACCTCTTTGTCAAAGTTCAGCATTGTTTTATACGAAGTATTAAGTAGCAAGAATTAAAAAAATAAATAAATAAACTCTACTTGATCTACTTGAATCACACAATTGGCCTATTTTGTATTCAAAATGGCAATTTTCGGCGAAAGGTGGCTTGTTTGTATCCTTGTTAATAATCTCAGTTCCTCTCAAATGTAAATCAAACACCCATTCACAAACATAGCGTGACTTTTTTTTATTCATTTTGGTCATGTGACTCTGTCTGTACCAATAATGTGTCGAAGGGTGAGCGGTTGATATGTACTCAGTTTATTATACATTTTTGAACTCATTAAAAATGCTAAAAACCGTTAAATACATTTTTTTCATTACATTCTTTTTTAACAACTAAGCTTTTGATTATTTATAACGTTTTATTAAAGAAGATTTTCACAAAATGATTTCGGCAAAATGGCGCCACTCTCTGTGCGGCGACCCAGTGCACTGCATATACTGCATACCCCCTTTTTGCGCCACTGCATATGACACAATACACAGTGAAATATATCTGTGCTAAACTTCTTTGCCTCTAACCCAATGGAAAATTAATATGAATGGCTCACGATAGACATTTAGTTTCCTAGTGTGAAATTTAGTTGCATATGTGAGTGATTTACTCACAATGTTGATTTATATAATAAGGATGTAGCAGTGTAAATCTGACATTCAGCTGAGATTTTTTGGGTCATGCACTCAATTTAGATCTGCTTGACAAACAATCTCAATGCTGCTAGTTCTTATTAGACATCAACATACGCAAGTCTATAAAAATGGTGAGAACATGCAGGAATTGAGTTCCCTAATTTCCGGTCTTTTCTTCTTGCAGCCTAGATTGGGAATATGACTAGAAGGAGGCTTTAGTGACATTAGGAGTGTCATTACTTCTCATGCTGCTTTCTCACTCCATTTCTTCTCATGCTGGTTTACAGATATACAAATGCATGCTGTCATGTGCTAAGCCTGAATTCCAGAGAAGGGGAGAGGGAGGGGAGGGAGTGAGAGAGCAATGTGAGAGAGGGAGGGAGCAATGTCAACAGCTTTGATTCCAGCACAGTCAGCTGAAATCCAGACTCTGGCGCAGTAGCACTCAGGTTGCTCTGGCGTGGAAGTGTCAGTTTGCTTTTATATACTCTTTTAAGCACAGATTTAACAACAGTTGAAAAGAAAAGAAAAGAAAAGAAAAGAAAAGAAGTAAGTCTGAGAGGATTTGGATGTCTACATTTAAAGGGCACTAGAAAATATTCTGGTTGACAGTGAATAGGACAAGGATGAGATATCCAAAAGGGGTGGTCTCTGAAGTGGGTAAGTACTTGCATCCTTCCATCTTAGTGCATTTAATGTTTTAAACCCTTTTTATAAAATCAAATGCTCATCTTTAGTGCATCAAATACATTTTACATTAAGAAGCAATATTATGTGAGGACTGTTTAAATGGCAGATGTAAGCTGTCAGTCAAAAAAGAAAGTGTGTGGCTGTTTCTGCTGCCTGTGACAACACCATGACTGACATATCTATATCAGGTCTGGGGAGGGAGCGGCATGTTGAAAAACTAAGGATAAGAATTAAAGAATGATTATTGGTAACACTTTATTTTACATTGTCCTTGTTATACACATGACATGTACTTACTATTATAATAACAATAAATGATGCATAATTACATGCAAGTAACCCTAAGACAAACCCTAATCCTAACCATATAGTAAGTACATGTAATTAATTTTACTCAGTACTTAAATGTATAATTACACAGTAACAAGGACACCTTAAACTAAAGTGTAACAGTTTATTTTAGGATAATGCAAAACTCCACCCCTGGTCCATAATGTCATGAGCATCTGATCATCTATCACAGAGCTAAGCAAAATGTGCTAATGACATGCAAAGTCCGGATGTTGGGACATGCTGTCAACTAGTGCTTTCTGACTTTAGGAGAATCTCCCAAGTTTCTGGTATCTGTTCAGTACACCTTAGTGTGTCTGTTCTCCTTGTTGAGGGTGTTTGGTCAGTCGTAAGTCTTTTAGATGGTAAGAACAGAGTTGAGCACTCTTATCAGGAAATACAATTCCACTAACAACAAAAGCCAATGCACTTTAAAGCAGAGCTAAGTGGTTCTCCATAGCTGCCACTGTTCAACAAACAGGAATAGCCATCCTAATCTTGCACAGTTGGTTGATTTAAGATGCCTCACATGAACAAGGTTCATCTCACCAGTAGTGCATGGTCTTTAGGACCTCTGTCCTTCATCATGCAGCTGTTAACGTTTCACCTTGCAACGCTTCATGTTTGGAGTTTTGAGTTACGTTATGGACTTTGGAATGGGATATTATATGACAAGTCTTTTCAGTTCCTCGTGGTAAATCAGAAAGAAAGAAACATGCAAATCATAAAATACAGGGTGTTTTCTTAGTTTTACTCTCTTCTGCTGCAGAGCATTAGGAGTGCAAGGGAACTGTTCTGATTGACAATGTTTTTGAGGTCAGGGTAGACATACACATTGCCTGTCATTGTGCCTGGTTGAATTTGACAACAGAGCAAGCAATACAATTCCTTCAACAATCAAATGTGTGGTCACCACTCTTTGATGTAGTTGCCAATCAGCTTTTGTGACCCTGTTTTGCTTCCATTTCCAGAGCAAAAGCGGGATCATAGATCAGAGTTTAACATTTTTTTTTTAATTATGCGTTGTTAACTTGCCTTAATGCTTTTACAGATTTGAATGTGTGACATCAATGGGATTTGGACCAAATAAGGAAATTTCCACACACAATGAGATGCTCAGTGACATACGGGAAAAGCTCTGTATGATGTAATGGAATGTTGAACATCTAACTAACCGGTGACTCTGGCTATAAATATTGTCCAGTTCATATCAGTCAATCATCTATATGTGGGAGTCTCAGCGATGGTAATGTCTGCTTGGGAAAAAGTAGGTCAGTAGTACTAGGCTACATGTTTGAGAGTGTCCTGAATTCCACCTCATGCCCGCATCCTGTAAACATCTGTTTCTGGCGGGCTGATTGTAAAAATGCATTGGTTATTTTCGGGCAGATACCTTTAGGAAACCTGTAGTGTGGAGCGCTAAAGATCTGGAAAGATCCGAAAAAAGTGTTCTCGATAGGATTGGAAGACTTCAGGGAATGATTAAGTGAGGCTGAATAATGTACATCAGCAGTTTCAGTTAGTAACTTTTCACTTCAAATTTGTTGTGACTTTACAAGTTAACTTATAAAAATGCTTGTAACATATAGGGGTGTCCCCGACTAAGGATTTACATAGTCAAATTGGAATTTTCGAATCTTGCCGATAGTTGACTGATAGTCAAATCATATGTTTGGGGATGGGGCAAATTACATTACCAAGAGTCAAGTCAGACATTCGACAGTCATAAATACTGACGTTAACACACAGGGAAAATGTGTAACGGACGCCTCACAGATACAAACGGGGTAAATAATGTTAATGTTTTGATTAAAAGATAGTTAACATTAAACGTCAGCGAAACCCTAAGAATTCACAACATTTTTACAAGTGCTCTCATAACGTTATGTCACAGTAGGCCTAGTTATTTATGTTCTGCATTTCTGTTTTGAGCTGCGCGCGCTGAAGATGACCAGTAGAATGAATATGAGCAGGTTTTTAATCAATGGGATTTAACTCATTTATCTCATATAGAATACGCTTTGCTATTTATACAACAACTTTAATATTACGACTTATAGGCTATCTGCACAAAATGCCTCGAATGCACATGAACATGAACTCCTTTTGTGGACATGTTCTTCACGCAACAATGTGCCGAAACACGGCAACTAAACTCTAAAAATTCACAGCATTTTATTATAATAGTGTTCTCATTATAATATTATGTATATGACAGTCCCAGTCATAGTTATCAACCCCTTAACTGACAAAGATCGGCGACGGCCTCAGATTACTGTTGTTTCATGATCAAAGCACGTTAAAACATCACACTCTTACTTGATCTGGACAAACGGTGCATCAGTAGAAAGATAAAAGACTTTAGCTACGATATTTGACCCCCGTTTTTTTTTTTTTTTTTTGATAAAACATTGTTGCAGTGACAGTAGTTTAATTTATGTCAGGAGTGCAAAATAATAAATGTGTATGTGTCATATAGAAATTCACCACGCATTCATATTCAGTCACGTCTGCAGAGGTTTATTTGTGTTCACAAAGCTTCACTGAACAGCGTCTTATCAGTGGCGTGCGGTGGTGTTTTAAAATGAGGAGGCAGTTATATACATATACAGTGGGTACGGAAAGTATTCAGACCCCCTTAAATTTTTCACTCTTTGTTATATTGCAGCCATTTGCTAAAATCATTTAAGTTAATTTTTTTTCCTCATTAATGTACACACAGCACCCCATATTGACAGAAAAACACAGAATTGTTGACATTTTTGCAGATTTATTAAAAAAGAAAAACTGAAATACCACATGGTCCTAAGTATTCAGACCCATTGCTCAGTATTTAGTAGAAGCACCCTTTTAATCTAATACAGCCATGAGTCTTTTTGGGAAAGATACAACAAGTTTTTCACACCTGGATTTGGCGATCCTCTGCCATTCCTCCTTGCAGATCCTCTCCAGTTCTGCCAGGTTGGATGGTAAACGTTGGTGGACAGCCATTTTTAGGTCTCTCCAGAGATGCTCAATTGGGTTTAAGTCAGGGCTCTGGCTGGCCCATTCAAGAACAGTCACAGAGTTGTTGTGAAGCCACTCCTTCATTATTTTAGCTGTGTGCTTAGGGTCATTGTCTTGTTGGAAGGTAAACCTTCGGCCCAGTCTGAGGTCCTGAACACTCTGGAGAAGGTTTTCGTCCAGGATATCCCTGCACTTGGCCGCATTCATCTTTCCCTCGATTGCAACCAGTCATCCTGTCCCTGCAGCTGAAAAACACCCCCACAGCATGATGCTGCCACCACCATGCTTCACTGTTGGGACTGTATTGGACAGGTGCCTGGTTTTCTCCACACATACCGCTTAGAATTAAGGCCAAAAAGTTCTATCTTGGTCTCATCAGACCAGAGAATCTTATTTCTCACCATCTTGGAGTCCTTCAGATGTTTTTTAGCAAACTCCATGCGGGCTTTCATGTGTCTTGCAATGAGGAGAGGCTTCCGTCGGGCCACTCTGCCATAAAGCCCCGACTGGTGGAGGGCTGCAGTGATGGTTGACTTTCTACAACTTTCTCCCATCTCCCGACTGCATCTCTGGAGCTCAGCCACAGTGATCTTTGGGTTCTTCTTTACCTCTCTCACCAAGGCTCTTCTCCCCCGATAGCTCAGTTTGGCCAGACGGCCAGCTCTAGGAAGGGTTCTGGCCGTCCCAAACGTCTTCCATTTAAGGATTATGGAGGCCACCGTGCTCTTAGGAACCTTAAGTGCAGCAGAAAGTTTTTTGTAACCTTGGCCAGATCTGTGCCTTGCCACAATTCTGTCTCTGAGCTCTTCAGGCAATTCCTTTGACCTCATGATTCTCATTTGCTCTGACATGCACTGTGAGCTGTAAGGTCTTATATAGACAGGTGTGTGGCTTTCCTAATCAAGTCCAATCAGTATAATCAAACACAGCTGGACTCAAATGAAGGTGTAGAACCATCTCAAGGATGATCAGAACAAATGGACAGCACCTGAGTTAAATATATGAGTGTCACAGCAAAGGGTCTGAATACTTAAGACCATGTGATATTTCAGTTTTTCTTTTTTAATAAATCTGCAAAAATGTCAACAATTCTGTGTTTTTCTGTCAATATGGGGTGCTATGTGTACATTAATGAGGAAAAAAAATTAACTTAAATGATTTTAGCAAATGGCTGCAATATAACAAAGAGTGAAAAATTTAAGGGGGTCTGAATACTTTCCGTACCCACTGTAACCTCTAAATATGGTGGTTTTTTTCTGGCGGTATTTTGTGATTTATGGAGCGATTAAAAGAGAGATCCCCTCAGTAAAAGCCTTTAACTCTAATATGTAAAAAAAAAATTGGACCAGGCTTTATGCAATGTTCAGTTTATTATTCTGGAAATATATGCAAATGAGTGCATATTTAATTAGATAATGCAACGTTTGCATATGTGAACATAATGTTACAGAAAACTTAAAGGCTTCATTTGGCCAAAAAATTTAAATTGTCATCATTTCCTTACATCAAGTTGTTCCAAACCTGTATGAGTGTTTGAGCACAGAAAAATATATTTTGAAGAGTGTAGGTAACCAAACAGTTGATGGTAGCCATTGTATTTTTGCATACTGTGGCTACTGTAAACCATAAACTGT